TGCTTCCTCGGACCTATGAGCGAAGAAGCTGCTGAGGAGCTGGGGGTACGCTAGGCTGCTCTTAGGCTTGATTGCGAAGCCAAGAATCCGCAGCTAAAAAGCTGAAAAAACTCACCCACAACCTCCCTGAGACAAGTAAAGGCTGGAGATACAGTACAGCGCTCCAGTGGCTGCTGAGCTGGTGCTGTCCCAAGCGGGCGGCGGCTCGAAACGTCCATTACACCCCAAGGAAACGGCGCAGCTCCTTCTGACGCCAATGCGGCCGCTCCATTGAAGAGGAAAGCTGAAGCGACACGCCACCAAAGACAGCCATAAAGGCTGCACCCGAAGCACTCAACTCTTGTCTGTGCAAGCCATCAGCTGCCCAGGCTAAAGGCGAGGCTTCCAGCTCCCTCTCATGGTTTTGCATGTCAGGATGAAATTACAAATACCTTTTGCGTCCCCATCTGCAGGGTTCTTTGAGAAACGGATGTCTTCGTCCAGCGTCACATATATCGACCCATCTTCGGATCTGAGAGCCACACCCACAGCGCTTTTACGTTTCGTCGCTGAGCCTGGCCCCATGACTTGTGACTGGTAGTTGTGCATGACTCAAACGTGCAAGATTCCTTCTGCCTCCCGGAATAGCCGCGCAGGTGAAAGCTGCTGATATGCGCTGCTGAGGGCTTCCTGCACGCGTTCAGGTTCTAAGGGGAGGCATCGAAACCTCCTACCTGAAGCAGGTCCGCGTCAGCCAAACTCTGAGGCACGGATAAAGGTTTTCCTCAGTCAGCATATTCGCTGCTTTCCGCAGAAGAGCGCAGCGCGCCGCAGTTTGCTCCCCTGACATCCCTGCAGTGCAGCGTCAACGATCTTCGCCGCAAACACGAAGTGCTGGATTCCGTGGGTGCAATCCAAGCTTTGCAAGGAAAACATTGGAATTTCTGCATTTATTTTCTCGAAATAGCACCTGATCCTGCCCTTGACAGCTGCAGCGTTTTCTTACCTGCTGCCAGCAGCTGCTGCTCCACCTCCTGCACTGCTCGCTCAGTGTCCTTGCCAAACAAGTGCTGCAGCGGCTGCTGCTGCACCAAGACGCTCCGGGGAAGCGCCTCCAGCACCTCTGGAGTCTGCGAAGGACACACCCGAAGAAGCTCCAGGCCCGCAGCAGCTGCAGCGCCAGATTTACAACTCCTGTCAGTTCGAGCTGCAGCTAGTGTTGCAGCATCTACTAGGAGGACCCGCTGCCTCTCCAGAACGCAAGGGCTCGCTGAGAGCCCCGCCTTCATGCAATTCAAGAACGAAGGCTCAGGGCTTACGTCGTAGACAGGGAAGATTTGCTGCTCCGGGTCCGAAGATGGCTCCACCGGATCTATGAATTCTAGAAAACGCAACGGGTTGTTCGGCAGCGACGCCAGCTCCCCAGCATTGGCTTCTCTCACCCGCAGCAACTCCGTCACGCTGCAGTTGCGGCCCTCACTGCTGCTGTCAGCGTGTCCCTTCGTTTGCTGCGCCCACGCGCAGCAGCAGCACAGCAGCAGCAGCACAGCTGGCGAACGCCCTTGCTGACTGCAGCACAGCTTCGGCACCCAACAGCACCCGCAGTCGGCGTCAGCACCAACAACAGGATCCGCACCGGCACCACAGGCAAGGACAGCAGCAGCAGCAGCAGCAGCAGCAGCAGCAGCGGCCGTAGGCCGCAGTCTGCATGCATACCAGCTCAACATATAAGTCCAGATTTGGAGTGTCAAAGTAAACCAGAGACGTCAGGCGGCGCGAGTCCCCAGAAGCGAGCGCCTCCGCGACTCTCGTGCTCTTGCTGCTCGCCTTGGTGCTGCTATTGCTGCTGCTGCTGCTGCTGCTGCCGCTGCTGCTGGTGCTTGTGGCCCTCGCCGGTACTTCTGGAGCCAGTGACGCGCTCTTCGCAGCTGCTGCTGCAGCAACTGCTGTTGCTGCTGCCGCCGGCAGAGGAGTTGTGGTGTCCACGCTGCAGCCCTTCACTGAAGTCAACACCAAATGCTTCGCCAGTGTGACTTGCAGCCTGTTGCGCAAAGTCGCATCTTTGCTGAGGTGTCTCTGACACTGCAGCACTGATTCAGGCTCTGCTGCAGGAGCTCCCGCTGCTGCTTCCCGCGCCGCAAGCTGGTGTCACTCCAGAGCAGCAGCGGCGGCGCCAGCACAGCAGCAGCAGAATCTGCAGCAGCTTCAGAAAGCAGCAGAACAGCAGCAGCAGCCGCAGCACCTGAAATTGAACATTTCCACCTTACCTGACAACCTCATCCGGTAAAATTAGGTATTTGGTGGTCCCCAAAGAAAATCCCTCTACAACAGCTTCGCCCACAGGCTTGGAAGCAGCAGCAGACGCTGCTGCTGCCGCCGAAGCTGCTGCTGCTATTGCTCCTGGCGCTGCTGCTGTGGGCGTAACGCCACTGGGCAATCTGTTTCCTGCTGCTTCCGCTGCCTTTGCTGCTGCTATTGCTGCTTCCGGGAAGTTTTTCATAGCCTTCAGGGCCCTCAGTTGGGCATATGCTGCGGCTAGCTGCTGCAGCAGCAGCGGCAGGTTCAGCCTCATAAACGGTTGGCGCATAACCCTAAGGCGCAGCAGCAACACAAGCAGCAGCAACAGCAGCAGCAGCAAGTGTGCAGCACGTGCACCAAATGCGCGGCCTGCTGCAACTAGCTGATCGCCACCAGCAGCCAGCCAGTCAGGACTTGCTAAATCACCAACAGCAACAGCAGCAGCAGCAGCAGGAATGGCACTAGCAGCAGCAGCAGCACCAGCCACAATCGTAAAGCTCCCGCCAGCACCTGCTTCGCACTACGTGAAGCAGCAGCTGCAGCAGCAGCTGCATTTTAAACAGTCCAAGCAGCCCCAGCAGCAGATGGAGCAGCATCGGAAACTGCAGCACCAATATCAGCAACAGCAGCAGCAGCATTAGCAGCAGCAGAAGCAGCAGCAGCAGCAGGTCTACCTGCACATATGATAGGCTGCTGATGAGGACTTGTTGAGTTTATCAAATTTCTTTGCAATTTTTCTGAAAGCTGTAAAGTTAAGACGAATATAAGAAGAAAGGAAAATAACTTCTTGACCCTCAGCATCAAGAGCTCCTTCTACTGCCAGCAGTTCCCGTTCAAATGCTGCTTCCACTGCTGCTGCTCCCTCTGCTGTTGCTGCTGCTGCAGCTGCCTCCGCCGCTGCTGCAGCAGCAGCAGAAGCAGCAGAACCTGAGGCCCCTTCGGGGCTCTCCTTGGTGGGGCTGCCTGTGGCCGAAGCCTCGCCGCTGGGGCAGCTCTCAGCAGCAGCTGCTCCATCTTGCTGCTGCTGCTGCTGCTGCAGCGGCAGCGGCTGCGGCTGCTTGTGCTGCTTGGGCTTCCTCTGCTGCTGCCACGGCTGCTGCTTCTGCTCTGTGTCCTCATTCTGCGGCTCTTGCTGCTGCTGCGGCGTCTGTGGAGAGGGCGGGTTCAGCAGCAGCTCCTGCTGCTTGTGCTGCAGTGCGTAGAGCTGCAGCAGCAGCTGCTGCAGAGCAGCAGATGCTTCAAGAAGCGTAGTGACAGAAAAGCTGTTGACCTTCGCCAACTCATGCTGCAGCAAATCCTCGAAGCGGCTCTCCGGCGGCCTGCAGCAAGTTAGCAGCAGCAGCAGCAGCAGCAACAGCTTAGCCCACGGCGGGGGCTGCTTCAGCAGCAGTACGATCTCCGGCAGCAGCAGCAAGAACGTGAGCAGCAGCAGCAAGAACGTGAGCAGCAGCAGCAAGAACGTGAGAAGCAGCAGCAGCAGCAGCACACGATCCGCGACAGCCACGTGCCAAACAAACTTGAAGAGCGCAAGCTTCCCGAAAATGCAAACGCAGCACGCGCCGCAACACAAGTAGCCAGCAGCAGCAGCAGCAGCAGCAGCAGCAGCAGCAGCAGCAGCAGCAGCAGGACCTGTAGTGCTCTCCCTCGAGCGCCTTGGTGTTTGCGAAGCTGCTGACTGCGTCCTGTATAGACACCGCAGACACGTCGGCCCCAGTGAAAAGCTTTACTGCCTTTTTCAGTTCTTTATAAGAAACATAAAAAGCTGCGCGGCGGCGCTCGCGGAGCTCCTGCAGCCGCTTCGAGAACTTCATCTAGCTGCTGCTGCTGCTGCTGCTGAAACAGTCGCTGCTGCTGCTGCTGCTGCGAAGGCTACTGCAGCAGTCGCTCCTGCTATTATGGTGGCACAGGCGAAATTTCAGGACAAGACCGCCGCCACAAGCAGGACAGCGCGAGAGTTTAGCCGCGCTGCGAGCCCCTAGTGCTAGTGCTGCTGTTGCGGGCAAGTTCCTTCGTTTGCCCCAGTTATTGCTGTTGCTGCTGCTGCTGCTGCTGCGGCTGCTGCCGTTGGGGTTTTGCGCCGGTATTCCGGCGCACCCTGCTGACTTCTGCAGGCTACGTATGCGGCAGTCTATTATTTAATTGTCTTAGGTGAAAATTAGTAGAACAGCACAAGGGCAACTGCAGTTTCTGTTGCGTGTTTCTGCTGCGCTGCTGAAGCTGCGGCTGCTGCATGCAGCAGCTGGTCGCTGTGAACTTCTGTAGTAAACTGCTCTCTACCTGTACCTTAAAACACAACTAATTATTCATTACGAGGTATTTTTTTCATGTGGTTCTTCTGAAGCAAGGGCAGCGCACTACTGCTGCTGCTACTACTGCTGCTGCTGCTGCTGCTGGTCAAGGTGTCGTCTGGCATCCTTGTTGCAACACAGTTGTTGCGCTACCCCTGCTGTTTCGGTCTCAGAAGCAGCAGCAGACAAATGAATCCGTTTGATATCGCGGAGGCAACTCCCTATTAGCCGCATATTTGTTGCTGCAGCCGCAGCAGGAACAGTCAGCTGCCACAGCAGCAGCAAGTCTAGCTGCAGCAGGCAGCAGCAGTCCGCACACATTCAGCTGCAACACTAGCGGGACTATTGGGGGATACAGCAGCAGCAAGCTGCCACCTGAGGCAGACACCGCAGCAGCAGGAAAACGGAAGCAGCTGCAGCTTAACAGGTTAATCT